TCATTTTTTTGAAATAAAAAGTATAAAATATTCATTAATTAATTACAACCACTAAGGGGGTACCACCACCCATGTACAGAAATATTTACATGTCAATCAATAAAGTTATCTAAATTCTCCATGGAATGCAAAAATTACCCGTAGCCACTAAACCAAAGGTTGATACCATTTTAGCTCTAGCCTTATTATTTTTAATTAGGGCAAAGACAGACTATTTGTTTAACCATGTTTCTTTTAGAAAGTAATTATAATTTTGGATGCTTTGAAACCTGTAATCTCTGCCATCTTTTAGGGGTATGAATTATATATTTTCTTATATTTTCTTTTTAGGGGAATCAAATATAAACAGATTTCGGAATCTATACTTTGTGAATCCAATGGTAAATAGGGTTAGAAGTCATCATGTCATGTTTTGTAATTAAGTAATGGTGAATTGCAATTGCTGTACATTCTTATTTATCTCAAAGAAAATCCTAGAATATACTCTGAAAATGCGTACCATTCGGAAGTATTTTTTTGTAGAACCCCGAGAGAAGGAGCTGTTAAGCTTGCTTCTTAGTGAATACAACTCAAAACACCTAATGGCAAAGGGCTAGTTATTGGGAAATTTCTCTTCATTAAGTAAAAGGAGGATATTTTGAACCCAACAATTTCTCTTAGGGCTTATTCCTTTTCTTTTCTTTTTCCCCTTTTTTGAAGAATAGTATTTACTTATTTTTGGTTGCATGTTTATCAGCAAAAAGTCTGAGGTTAGTTGTCAGTAGTTGTTAACTTTCAGGTAGAATTTCCAGTCCATCTAGATGATTGCAATGCAGGAGAACTGCTTCCACATGTCATATAGAACTGAATGTCTACCATATATTTCTCCCTGATCCTATTTGCTAATTATCTCATATCTTAGGAGCTGAATATGGTGCTTATCGATTTGTTTTGCTATTACATTGTCTGAAGTTAAACTTGGATAGATATTTTTCCACTCATTGATTAATTTATAAGCTAAATAGCAACTGAAGCATCATATTGTCTTTCTTATAAACTGTTTCATATCTTGTAATCACATGATTATTTCACCTAGTAATCATTTAACCTTTTTATTTTTGGTTCCAATAATTGTTACTCATTCTATCCATTTCTGTGACCTTTCTACACATGCAGATAGCTGAAGATTATTCCCACTGTGAATTTTTGATACGTCTACCGGGGTACTGTCCTAGTAAGTTGTCACAAGCATGTTCTTGGTGCTTTTTCTTTCCAGAAAGAAATTGATTCTCTTCTGATGTATGCTTTTTTTTTTTTTTTGTGGTTTCCCAGTGCCTGCTTTTCGTGATGTTATTGATATACCTCTTGTTGTGAGGAGGTTACACAAATCTAGAGAAGAGGTTGGTCTTAGTAGCACTACAAATTTGATCAAATATTATGTCAAATGTGCTCCAACCTCAATTGATAGTTTCTTTGTGCCGCAGGTGAGGAAAGAGCTTGGAGTTAAGGACAACATGAAGCTAGTAATTTTCAATTTTGGTGGTCAGGTAAACAGTAATTGTCACAAGTGGTTATATATCGCTAAATTTCACACCTATTCCAGGCTTAACAGCTTCAGGTATTCTTCAAAATAAAACCTGACAGTCAAATCGATAATGTTATTCGTGATGAAGTTGGGATAATTCACATAAATCCAGAGAGAGCGTTTTTTCATCCATAGGGTTGCAAGTACCCGGATCAACCAAAAGTCCATCTTCCCATGATCCCTTCCATTTCAAATAATATCCACATCGTTCACTAATTCTCAAATAAGGTATCCAAAGAAAAGAATTCC